AGATCTTGGTAGCACTTGTTGTATGTAGTTCTTTCTGAATTCACATAGTAATGGGGTGGCCATCTGTGTTCATTGCCTTTATCTAAAAGAAAAATAACAAAACGTATTTATGACATGAATGTAGTTGCAATTTTTACCTGTGCTGACCTTCCACAGCGATAGGGAGATGCGGATGCATCTTCCTTGATGTTTGCACTTCAACGATGTGGCTTCCACACCTGTGAGAAAAAGAAACATGGGCTATAAAGCTAGCAGTAGTGTTACTTAGCTTTTTAGAAGATCTAAGGAACAGTTAAAAGTTTTCATTAGTGAGAATCCTAAAAAAGATGTCTTTCTCTTTAGCATCTGGAAGAACTTACTATTTTTAAATGCTATGAAGTTCATAGCCCTGACAATATTTTATTGCTGAAATACTCAGTCTTTGTTATAGTTTATCTCTAACATCCTTGTGTTAGGAGATCACCCAGTTATGTTTATGGCTAACATGTTCTGTATTTAGAAGGCAAAATCATCCTAGATTTTTTGCTGCTAAAGACAGAAGAAAGTGAATTCTCTCTAACTCACTTAGTTCAGAGAAGAAGGTGTGATCATTGCAGTTCATGAAAACCTGTCTACCTGCTTCAGTTTATCTTTAGAATGATGTTGTCTGTATTTAAATCCATAGTATACCCATATTGGATTCATTATTTTTCCTCCCTTAGAACTCCCCCTCAAAATGTAGCTTTGATTTGTTTTGGTCCTCAGATATGGCAGAGAGGCTAATCTTTTGGGGAGATAGTAAATAATAAATGATAATAAAAGTAATAAAATAATAAAATGTTTTTTCTGTTTCCTTTAATCTTTCTTCTTCAAAAGACATTAGACATCAAATCTACAAATTAAATTGGAGATTCAAATAAATTATTTTTTCAAATACTCTCTTTACTTGTAAGTTAACAAACCTTTTTAGAGTTGTAAACATCGATCCATTGCACTATATCCATTTTCACTGGTAATTATGAAAAAGAATAAACTGTAGGTTTACGTTACGGCAAACGGCGATGAAGGAGATCTTGATTCTTGTCTGTTATAGAAAAAGAATTTCCACAGTACAGGACAGTGAGCAAAGCAAGATTTATTAATCCAGAAACCTCCTGCTGCAGTGCCAGGAGGGAGTACTCTCAAGAACAGAAACCTGAGAAACTTGTCAAAATGTGCTCTTTTAAGCACAACTCGAGGGAGCAGATCAGTAGCTAACAAGTTACAGGAGCGGGCAGAATTGTATTTCTGTCTTGCTTGTTCATGGTAAAGCAAAAAGCCAACAGAAAAGTGAGATAGGCAATTTCATCTTATGAAAAAGCTAGAAACTCGGAGGTGTAAAATTGGCACTTTGTTTTTTGGAGGCTGCTTCCCCGGGAGAAACAAGCATTTTTAAAGGGCCTCTCCCTTTACTCATCCTAGCATGGACCTGAGCTAACTGACTATTAGCCCGTCTAATTCCTTGCATCATCAAGAGTATCAATCAATCCAGAACGTACTAGCTTTGTGGGTGGTTCCTGTAGCCTCACCAGCTCTCTGCAGGCATTCATACTTTGCCTCATATTTGGCTAACTTTTCTGTGAAACTACTGTTTTGGTTACCAGATACACAAGGAGATAAACTCCAATGCCGTCACGTCCTTTGAATGTTTTATCTTAAGATAAGTCCTATTTTGAACATTTAAAAATAACAAAACAGTAATGGTTAGAAATGTCTAGTAAAACTGAGGTGCTTGAAAAAAATAGCTCTTTATATGCTTACAAAGGCTTTGTCAATGCCATTTTTCATTGATTATGTCTAAGTTTGAATTATAACAAAAATCTTATTGGAGAAAAAATTCTAATCTGATACTAAAACAGGTTACAGACTTTCCTCATCTTTCACAGCAAAGATTATGCTTTCCTCAATTGTCATTTTAAAATACAGGTCAAATATATTCAGTTTAAATCAATAGTAATATGTCATGTTTTCTTTTGAATTTTTAATCGAGTTTTGAAAAGAATTGTTTAGATATATTACCTTGGGTTTTTGTTTTTGTTTTTAAATTAATTGCATTGCATTATGTGACACAGTGTTATGGGCACTGGGATTCCCCCCACCCCTCCCCGAACCCTCTCCCCATGGTGGATTTCTCCACCTTGCTGCGTTACCACAGTTCAAATTCAGTTGAGGTTCTTTCATTGAAAGTATTTACCAAACACAAAGTCCAGCATCTTATTTTCCTAGTGGGCTCAACGATTTCTTGGTGAGACCATCTCTGGTCTGAATTACGTTGTTGTTTTTAACAAAGACATTTAAGTATAGAGTGTACTGTTAGCCCTGTATTCTAAGGATAATTGGATTCTGTACAAAGTGGCCAGTTTTCTTCCTTCCCAAAACCCGACATCAGTCCTAAAAGCCCAGGGTGTCCCTGGGGGATGAGGCGGAAGTTGTTTTAGTTTCTTTCCTAAGGCTTCCATAGAGAAATCACCACCACTTGGGAGCTTAAAATGACAAAAAAAAAAAAAAAAATTTTCTCACAAAGTTCTGGAGATCAGAATTCCAAAACCAAGCTCCTCAAGGCATCCCTGCCCGAGACCGACTTGTAGCAACCTAAGCTCCATCTTTGCCTTTGTCTTCACATGGCCTTCTTCCTTGTGAATCGCTGAGTCCGAGTCTCCCTTTCCTTGTTCTTCCCAAGACATCACTTGTTGGGCCTGAAGCAGAGGGATTTCATCTTGGGATCCTTAACTAGCTGCAGCTGCAAACACTGTATTCCCAAGTAGGACATACACATTCTAGTATTTAGATTCTTTTATTTAAAGAATTATTTCCAAATAGTGTGACAGCATTAAATATTTTCCATGACTTTTCACATTCATTCTCTTACTGATTTTCCTAACCTGTCTTTATTTACATGAGGTACTGACATAGACTGCCCTGTGGAAAGGAATCATTCTATAGGAATAAGGAACATTTTCTGTTCTTTTCTTCCTCCTTTTCATTCATTCTTCCCTCAGGAACTAATAAGATTAGGAACTGCCTTTCTTTTTTTTTCTCCTTTTCCATTTCCTTCCTGTCTTTTGTGTGTATATTTGTCTGTGTGTGTGTGTGTGTGTGTGGAGGGGAGGTACCTACAATTCTTGAGCTGGCATTTAAAGTCAGGAGCAGAACCTGGGATTGCACAAAGCATATGTCCCCTGGACATGTTTGCAGCTAGGACACTGAAAGTTCGTGCTTCTGTGTCCGTCTGCTCATTAGACCCTGTGATGTCCAGCTGGGTCTGTCAGTTCTTTAATCTGATGAGTAAGTCAGAGTCAAGCATATCTAAGTGTAGGGGCAAGGAGTAGAGGTAATTCAGCTTTACTAGTTGTAAAGCTAGTATGTAATTCCCACTTGCCTCGTTGTTACGTGTTTTTACTCTCCTGCATAACCGTGACAGTAATCAGAAATATATTAATGTGACAGGTTTTTTTCCCAGTTTATTTGAACAATGGCTTTATATCATAGATGGAAAAGAAAATCTCACCAAATTCTTGACAAAACAAGGCTAGACCAGGCAGAAGCCAGGAGCCTGAAACACCATCCAGATCTCTTCAGGGATTCAAATATCTCAACTGTCATGTGCTTCCTAGGGTCTGTATTAGCAAGAGACTGGATCAGAAGCAGAGCTGAGACCTGAGCCAAGGCACTCAAATATAGAATGTGGATAGGACCTTCTCAGCCACTGTGCCAAACACCCACCTAAAATGCCTGTTTTTAAAATTAAAACAATCTTTATTGAGTCTTTGTAAGACTTTGCTGGTTATCACTAAGACAAGAGTTAGACTCCAGACTTACTTTGGATCTTTTTAATTTTCATTTTGAGACCTTCTTAATATGATTCAGATTGAAATTTTCCTGATGTTACAGGTAAGAATCTCTGTGTGGTGTCAGTATCATTTTAAATTTTCAAGTGAGTAACATTAGTCCACTCTTCATTACTTTTAAAGAAGCTTGAAAGAAGCTTCTTGAGAAAGAAAAGATTTATTTCACTTTACAGTTTGAAGTTATAGGCCTGGGTGGCCCCGTATTTTGGTCTCTGATGGGTGGTTGTGGTGACTGAAGTGGTGTGATCACATGGTGAGATAAGAAACAGGCAAGAAACATGGATGGAGAAGCTAGGCTGAAAAGTAAGACCCCCAGTAACCCAAAGACATCCCACCAGCACCACCCCTCAGACACCATCATCAGATCAAATCTTGAGTCTTATAGTTAGTCAGCCATTCATTCACATGAAAACATCGCAGTTGAAACAGCTGCTTGAGTTTGGGGAGGTGAGCCTTGCTTATACCCATAGTATGACTGCTGTGTTCTATAGTGCTCAAGGGAGAGCTAGGGCCCTTGCCTTCAAACAGGCAGTGTTGTTTGAATCTTTTAAAATTAGTATATCTTAAACTTCCTGTAAGTTCATCGTGTTTTTGAAACCTTTATATAATAGCTTGCTGTTGGAACAAAAACTAAACAAACAAACAAAACCTAAGAACTGCTGCAAAAAACCTAAGAACTTACTCAGTATTGATAAATGTGAACTGATTTAAGTTGTTAAAAAATATCATGGATGTTAGATGCTATTTTTAGAAGAATGTCTTTGAAGAATTATGACATAGTTTGTTTATGCTAATTGATAGCATTGTTGATTTTTGTGTTTTAGCTAGATATGTGGAGTTTCTATTTTGTTTGTTTTGTCTTTTGTTTTTGGAAAAAAGTAAGACAAAAACAAAACAAAGGAAAAGCCCTTAACTCCACAGAACTGGCTTTGCATCTCATGAGGCTTCGTTAGGCACTTTCTAGAACATACTGTTTGTGTTTCAGCCATTTTGAGTAACTGGGGTTCATTCTGCAGTGTGTTTTTCCTAGAGCAGCCCAGAGAAGGTTATTCCTTTCCTCTGCCGCTGTAACTGAGCTTACTTGATCTTGCTGAATTCTAATCAAGGCTCATTTCTCCCCCTTTTTGTTTTCAGGTATTTGTATCTGCTGTTCTCCAGTGATGACCTTTTACCTTTAGATCATTGGGTATTTAACACAGAGGCTCACCCGCTGCCTGTGTTAGAGTTAGCCAACACCACACTTTCAGGTAACCCTGCGGTTCGATGAAAGCAACTCCAGAAGGACCATTCTTACCTGTGTTTTGTTTACATGGACCACTGCAGAAATTAGTCTGGAGAGGCGGCTTTTGAAAACCTGGACCTCTTAAGTCAACACAGCAGGGTGAACCTCTTCCCTGCAAGACTTTCAACATGTAGATACATAAACTTTGAAATTATTCCATTTTATACTTGACCAAAACATGCTCTGGTACTTACAGGGCAAAGAGATGATTCTGAAAATGACTTTGATTCTGAAAACATGGTCACGTGAGAAGCGATGCCTATTACTACTATCTTGTTTTTAGAGTCCTTAAGTCTGGAGGCTGGACTTTCTAAGAGCAAACCAAGAATATAGAGCACCTTGCAGGAGTTAGAGATGGCCTGGGGAACCACTTCTGTAATTGTTTCTTCCCACAATGGAGCAGCTTTCAAATAAATATTTCCACATCATTTTTCTGTTTTTTCCTCCATTTTAACAATGGAATGAACTAAGATGAACAAGAACAAAAGAACTGTGTAATTGGACTAGCCGGAAGAAGACTCAAAAAGGAAACAGAAGAACCGGTACCTATCTGAAGTTTCAAGTTCTCCGTTGGATGTCCAGCCTGGCAGCCATTTTAATCCCAAAATTTTATTCAAAGTCTAGGTTAAATTCCACTTTTTCTCGGGGCATGATCTGGCAAATAATATTCTTTGTCTTTGTCTCCCTACAAAATCATTGAAACTACTGTTTATCGTAAGCAACACTTAGCCTGGTTTGGGGGTTTGTGCATGTGGTTCAGTTCAGTGTTGGTAGCATGACAAAAAGTGAGAAATCAATGAGCTGATTGCCTCCTTGAAACCTGTTCTAAGTCCTTGGTTTTATCAGTAGGAAGCTACTCTTCCAAACCAGAAAATCCACTGAGTTAAATTTTATCCATTTTAATCTCATACTAAAATTACTGGAGTCACTCGATTTACAACTCTTTTTATTTTACTTGGCAGGATTGACTGTTGTTTAGTTCTGAATTTGCCCTGGTAATACAAATTACTTTTACAGTTTATTAAAGCAAAACAAAACAACAAAGTTTCCTTCTATCTGAAATGGGAGTAGGGACTACTTTATTTATTTCATACCAGATGAATGAACTATTCCAAGGTATTTTTTATTTTTTGTTTTTTAGTTTCTCCATGAATGTAGAAACCCAAAGAATTAATTGGAATAGCTTCAGAATACTTTTCAATGATGAAAGTATCATATAATTAATCATGCTACACCAATATTGGGGTATATTAAAGGACTTTCTATTATCAGTAGTTTTTGCATTGACGCTTCTTTTTAACTAAATTATGGTTCTTTATATTTTAGTAGAAAGAGCTTAAATTTTGTCAAGAACTATAATGTAAGATAAATATCTAATACTTAAAAATTTATGTCCTTTGGATTTTTGTGACAATGCAAGACACTTTTTTCTCCTTTTCATATAGTATATATAATTTCCATTGACATTAATAAAAGTTGGAATAAATATCCTTAGTCTAATATTTTCTCTGAATTTGAGTATTTCATGAAAGAGGTTTGTACAGAAAACCCACGTGGAATTTTTAAGGCTTTTTTTCCTTATTTCATAGCTTCTCTTTTTAATTCTCTGAAGACAGATAATTTATTTAAGTTGGAAGAATTAAAGAATTAATAAGTTAATACAGTTAAACATTTTCTAAAGGTGGTCCTGTCTTCCCATCAATGAATCCAGTCCATTCAGTAATCCATTGTGGTAATAGTAGTGGCTACTCTACAATCTTTCAATGTACACAGAAAATAAGGGAGAACAGTTAAATTACTTAAGTCTTTAAGAGAGTTAAAATTTAGCACATGTTTTAAAAATGTAGCATATTTTACTAGTTGAAAATTTTAAGAATTTAAATGAGAGGTATAGATAACTCTAATTTCAAAAGAGAAATGGAATGTTTTTGACTCTCAGAAAAGAGTTAGCCTTTCTCTTAAAAATAGCACAAGCCTGCTTATAAATCACCAAAAAAAAACAAAAATTGGCAAACTTGAGTCACAGAGCCCCAGAGTAGCTGCAAAGGGCAGTGAGCTTCTCTGACTTTGTTTAGACGGATGCAGAAAAGGGGGCTTGTTTAGTCCCCCTGGAGCTTTTCAAACAGAGAGGAGATGGAACTTTGGCCTTCGGATGCGCTGTTTGTATGACTTGGGTGACTGGGGTTAAGAGAAGACAGAAGTGTGTGCAGGGCCAGTGCTGTCCTTGCAGAGGATCCGGGACAAGGGTCTTCACTAGCCCCTACCGTCCTTGTGATCAGAAGACTACAGCTTAAAGCAGTGCCTCCTTTTTTTTTTTCTTTTCTTTCTTTTTGTTTGTTTGGTGGGTTGGTTTTGTTCTCTTAATACCAAAGGCAATTAAAGTTGGCTATAAATGATTTGCCTGTGTCATATTTTATTTTTGCTATAGATTTTTAAATTATTCCCTCAAGGTAAGTCTGTATCCCCTATCCTGCTTAGTTTCCAAGATTACTCTTACTTTGTTCTGCCGTTCATAGCCCCTTGCATCTAATCGACCTTATTACTCAGGATAAACCCTCATTGCATATAAAAGAACTTCTGAAAAGAGCCCAGAAATGCTCCTTTTCAGGTGTCTCCTCAAAGAGCTGACACACCTTGTGCCTTTGGCACAACTGTGCAGGGTAGATAGATCAGTTGGTAAGTAAAAGCAAGAATGTTGAGTACCCCTCTTGTGTACATTTTTATCTCTTCATTTTAGAATCATACTTTCGATTCAAGCCAGATTCTTTTTTTTTTTTTTAATAATTCAATCGATCTTAAGAGAATGGCATTCTAACCAAAATGAGGTCTCAATACAGGAAAAACTAAATCCCCAATCGCAGAGTCCTTTCTTTCTGATGGGCTACTGTTTTGAACATCAACAGATTCCTACTTGCAGCAGGTGTTTATATGTGAAAGTAAAATCTGAGTATTAAAGGATTGCATTCTTTCTGAGCAACCTTGACCCAGGTCCTCTGTGATGTCATCTAGGGTAGCCCAGGGCTTCACGTGGTAGATTTTAACCAAGCAGTTTGGAATTATGATCATTAACCTTTCCTCTTTACTCTCCATTGCCAAAGTCTTTATCGAAACTCCAAAACTGTTGACAAAAGATTGTGCTTACCGTTCTCTTTAGAATACAGCTTCTCCCTAAGCCTTGATTTCTTCGGGTGAGTGTGTGAGTAGGTGAGAGAATGAGTGAGCTGCAGTTGTGAGTAGGAGAACTTCATATGGGATCCCAGTGGCATTTTCTGTGTGAGAATAATTCACGCTACTTTGAATGTTTTCCAATATGAATCATATTATAAAAATCCATAATTTTATATTTCATTTAAATTAAAGGGGAAAAGAATGTTTTATAATATATTTTAAACAGTGTGTTGCTATATAATACTAACAACTATAATTGTAGTTAATAACTAAAATCTCTTGAGAAATGTCAAAAATATTTGATTTCTGATACAAACTTTGACAAGTAATTTAGAAATAAATGCATTCTTATTTTACTATATCACTTTAATTACATAATTAAAAATCAATGTTTTATAGAAGTACTGCTTATTTTATATTCAGAAGAGTAACATGATCATGCGTAAAACTTGCAGTTGTAAATTGTCTTTGCATTTCTTAAAGGAAAACATACTAAAATATTCTAATATCCCAAGTAACAGTTTCTAGTAATAGTGTTGCAATTTCTCCTTAGGTTTCTTTATTCTCAAATTGGCTAGCTTCTCTTACTCACTGTTTACATAGATACATAAATATGATAATACACAGTTTTTTAATAATATATTGTTAACACAGTTGGAAACTGATTTGAGCTATACAAATTACAGAAGGAATATTTCAGTAAACATGCATGATTTGAAGATATTTTAATCCAGTTATTCAGATTCAAAACATTGGTGACCATATTTGTGACTTGAACTCATTCACATCATGATAAGGACGCTTTTGTTCTATATCCAGCCAGCTCTCCCATAAAGAACCAGAAAATGTATATTTAAGCTATGGGTGCCATGCAGTCTCTCTTACTACTCATTTCTGCTGTTGAAATGTGAAAGTTATCTATTATATGTAAATAAGAGTTCTAGGTGTGATCTAGTAAAATTTTATCTATGAAACAGATGAAAGGCTGGCTTTGGCTCATTAAGTTATAGGTAATCCAGATCCCAAGTTTTAATTACCTAAGGCCTTCTAAGCTTCAGTTTGCCTGTTTTCCTGTGTGCTTTGATTTATTCATTTTTAAGAGCAAAAAAGATGCGTGTTTGTAAAATTATGTATTTATATAACTTCAAACTATATGTTTTATGGTGTTTAACTGTACTCACAGAGTCTGTCAAAGTCAGGATGATCTCACGAATGATATACAGAAATCACAGGGGCATGGGGAATATGCTCTCAGCCGTCATCCTTCTCCTTGTCACTCCAATACCCTTACTTGTGTCAAAATAACAGATTCTGTTCAGGTCCTGCATGCTCATTGCCTCCTGACGGAAGATGCTAGATTGTGAGAGCTGCAGAAATTCATCCACATGGGTAGTGTAGAGCTCTCTCACAAGAATTGTGACCTCTGTGCTGCAGAAATGAATTTTGAGAAATTCTGTGCAACACAGAACGAGGTTTGTTCCTCATTTACCATTTAGCAGCGAACCTTTCTCCAGTGCACAGAGTGCTGCCCCCTTCTAGAACAGCGTGAGTCACAAGCGCAGAGAGCAGAGGCATGCAAGAAGTGTGCTCTGTACCTCTGTCTACATAACACCCTCAGTACCTTTGCAAGTCCCAAGTATTATTTCAGAATATTACTGCGTGTCATTTTAAAGCTTCTCTCAGACACAGTGTTAAACTTCCAATATTTAACAACTAATGTATTTCAAACTTGGTTTGAATCCCAGTAACTGAAAAAAAAATTTTATAATGAAATCACACAGTCCCATATTACTAGCCAAAGTCATTGGAATAGAACAATCGTTCCGACAGATAATAGATTTCTCACTAAAGAAGTATGTTGAATAGTTCACTGTTTTTAAGAAATGCTATGGGAGAGGAGGCTGCTGTTCAAAATGATGGCAATTTCCTGGCTATTTTCCATTATATAAATGAACTGCCTTTCTGAGTCCAACATACTACAAGGTCACTTCAGCTCATTGTGAACGTTGGTGAGCTCAAACACATGCATCCACATTCATACATATGTATATTATTTGTGTAAGATTTTAAAAAGAGTTGCAAATACTTTGCAGCATGTTGAATGATACAGACTTGTACTGGAAATTACATACTAGAATACTTATTGAAGATAAGCTCTTTGTGGGAAAAGTATTTTTTTAATTAGAGATTAGGGTTTTTTTCTAGGTTTATCAAATAAAGTGTCCCAATTTTAATTCCTGGATTTGGAAGTGCAAATGCCATTTTTCACCCTCACTGGTCTCAAATTCACCAGAAACGTTTCCTAAGATAGTAAGTGGAATAAATACAGCATCTTAAATCAGAACCCACTGACAACCCCTAAATTGGTTTTCAGTCATGGCCTCCATAATGTGATTTTTATAAATTAAAAATAATATTGTGTAATAATGGTCAAATAAAGATGTTCTTTAAATGGAAAAAAAAAAGAACCTCTGTCCTTTTTTTTGTCTGCTGATGACATTTGTATTTCTTTCTATTTATGGAGAAGCAACTTCAGTAGCTGTAGTCTTCAGTCTCATAATCAAAGAGTGCTTCCTTGGGTTCAGCTAATATTTGCTTTGATAGATGTTATAAAAAGCTGTGGAGGAGCTTGCCTCTAGGGGTAGTTTTTATTTCTACTGATACTTTAAAACCATCCACAGATCTGTGTGGCATGTAGCACAGTGCATGTAATCTGGAAGATCTATTCTGGTACAACTTCTGAGGTAACCAGACCTAAAAAACCAGACATCAGGCCTCATTCCATCACATTAACAATCTGGTTTGACCTTGCTTAAGCTATTGTTGGGTAAATACAGGCCTAAGGGGCTTAAGGAATAGAATCCTGAGGAATGCTAGTGGTTTAGTCTAACAGTTGTGTAAAAACATGGGCTAGTTAAAACCTTGTACCGTAGGCCATTGGATAAGGTAATGGTGCAAACTAAAGTAGCAGCAAGTTTATATCCTTGAGGTCAGTTCTCTCTGGCACAGTGATTTCAGCATCAGTATTTTAGGCTGGGAAATTACATTGTGGTTGCATAAAATTACCTAATGAATTTTTATTTTCCAAAGCAACTAAAACAGGCCCAGATAGAATTGGGTAAAATCTGGATCTTTCGGTATGCTATCAAAATATCATTGGGTTACAAAGGAAATATCAATAAATAAATAGCATATATTAAGAATGTGTTTAGACAATGAATGGGCCTGCATCTTGTGGTTTGACTCAACTTACATTTCTTGTATGATTTTTATTGCAGTAAAATATAGTTATCCATTTGTATCCATGAAAGGTTGATTTCAGGCATCCTGCTGTATACTTTATCTCTAGATTCTTTGTGATATAGTACAAATGTCATGTGAATGGCTGTTGCACTGTCTTGTATAAGGATCTAAGTCACAACAGCGCCTGTGTGTTCAGTGCAGATGTTTATTTTTTAAATTATTTTATTATTTGATGATACAGTTCTATAGTCTCTAGGATTTCCCATCCCCTCTCCCCAAATCTCACCCCTGCACTGATTTCCCTTACGTTACTATAGTGTAGTCCTTTATAAACAGTCGTAAGTCTGTGATTCAGCTATTTAAATGTATACTGATATTGTAGGTATGGACAATGGCAGAGAGTCCAGTATCCTATTGTCAAGATATATTTAAGTTTATTGGGAGTCCATCTTTGATTTGGAAATAAAAATGCATGTTGCATTATATCTTCGCTTCTGGATATAATAATCTATTACACAGTTACTATACATGCCTTTAAATGAAAATCCACAACGCAACAGCAGGAAGGAAAAAATAGCAAATTAACAACATGCTACTGAATTACCAATGTATCACTGAGAAAAATGAAAAAGAATAAAACTTTCTAGAAGCAAAAAATGTTACTGTGTGACCTGTGAGTGAGGCATTAATAAGAAAAAAAAAACAGTATTGAAAGAGCTATTGAAGCTATTATATTTGCTTGAAGGTTGCCTTATATCAGAAAGGACATATGATATTTACTCTTTTGAAGTTGGTTTATTTCACTGTGCATAATAATCCCTATTTGGGACCATTATTTGCAAATGATAGAATTTCATTCCTTTTAATGGCTGAGTAGTATTCCATGGAGTAGATGTACCACAGTTTATCCACTCTTCTTTTGAAAGATTTCTGGGTTGTTTCCATGTCTTCGCTACTGTAGATTGTGCTGATGTGGGTACAGGGTTTCAGGTCCCTTTCTCATAAGCAGATTTATTTTCTTTTGGATATATTCCCCAAAGTAGGATAGCTGGATCATATGGCATATCAATATCAATTGTCTTAGCACTCCCCATCCTGACTTTCTTAGTGGTTGCACTAGCCTACACTCCCACCAATAACAGCGAAGGAAGGTACCGTTCTCCCCACATCTGCGCCAGCAGGTGTTGTTAGGAGAGTTCTGAATGTAGGCTAATGTCACTGGAGTGAGGTGGAACCTCAGGGTGGTTTTCCTTTGTATTTCTGTGACAGCTAGGGAGCCTGAGCATTTTCTTTTTCTTATGTTTGTTAGCCATTTCAGTTTGTTCTTTTGAAAAATATCTATTTGTTTTCTTCATCCATTTCTTCACTAGGTTGTTTTGTTGTCATTGGGTTTGGAAGCTCTTTGTAAATCCTGGACAGTAGTCTGCTATTGGTTGTAGAGTGTGCAAAGGTTTTCTCCCATTCTGCTGGTTGCTTCTTCACTTCGTTGATCTCCTCCTTTGCTGTACAAAAGTTTTTTCGTTTGACGTAGTCCCATTTGTTTCTGTTGATTTTGACTGCCTATGTTTTTGATAACTTCTAAGAAGTCTTTCCCAATTCCTATGTCTTACAGAGCGCTTCCTATGTTTTTCTCTAATAGTTTGATGGGTTCTGGGTGCAGAGTTTAGGTCTTTGACACAGTTAGAGCTGGTTTTTATGTAAGGTCACAGGTGAGGGTCTTGCTTCTTACCTGTGCAGCTGCAATCCAGTTGTTCCAGCAGCATTTGTTGAAGAGAACAGGCATTTCCCCTGGGTTATTTTCGGTTCTCTTGCTGAAGATTAGTTTAATGTACAAGTGTGGGATCCTTCCTGGGGTTTCTGTTCTGTTCCATTGATCTGCTTCTCTTTTTCTGTACTAGCACAATTCTGTTTTGATAACCACTGCCCTGTAGTAGGTCTTGAGGTCTGTGATTCCTGCAGCTTGGTTTTTATTCTTCAGAATAGCTTTGTCTATCCATGGTCCCTTGTATCTACAGATGAACTTTTGTATCATTGTTTTTCTATTTCTCAGAAGAATGTTGTTGGGACTTTGATTGCAATCACATTGAATCTGTATGTGAGTTTTAGTAATATGGACATTTGATGATGTTGGTCCTGCCTATCCAGGAACATGGCAAGTTTCTCCATCTTTTAATGCTTTCTTCTATTTCTCTTTTTAATGTTCTGTTTCATCATAGAAGTCTTCCACACCTTTGGTTAGATTTGTTCTAAGGTATTTGAGATTCCTCTCCACCATTTTAAGAGGACTATGCTTATAATTTCTTTCTTTGCCATGGACTTACTTGTATGTACCAGCACCCTTGATTTATGTTCATTAATTTTATATCCTGCTACCCTGCTGAGGTTTCTTATGCATTCCAATAGTCTCTTGATAGAGTTTTTGGTTTTCCTACATAGAGAATCACGTCATCCACAAACAGGGATAGTTTTAATTCCTCAGTTCCAATTTGAATTCTTTTAATTTGTTTTCATGCCAAAGAGCTCTGGCAAGGACTCCCAACACTATATTGAATAGCAGTGATAAAAGCGGGTATCCTTGTGTGGTTCCAGTTCTTAGTGGAAAAGCTTCCAGTCTTTCCCCCATTTAGATGCTGGCATTGGGTTTTTAATATGTTGCTTTGCTTTTGTTATAGAATGTTCCTTCTATGCCTATCTTGCTTAAGGTTTTTAGTATGAAATGGTGTTGAATTTTATCACATGCCTCTTCTACTTTATTGAGATCGTCAATGGTCATATGCTTTTTATATTTTTATTTATTTATTTTGTTATTTTTATTTATTTATTGATGTCATGAATCACATTTATTGATTTATGAATGTTTAACCATCCCTCCATGACGGGGATAAATCCTACCTGGTCTGTGGGAATGCCCTGCTTGATGTACCGCTGGATCCTATTGCTAGCATTTTTTTTTTGAGGATCTTTGTTCCTATGTTCATCAGGGATATCAGTCTCAAGTTTTCTCTTTCTGTCGTGTCTCTATCTGGCTTTGGTATTAGGTGATATTGGCTTCATAGAAAAAGTTTGAGAAGATTGCCTCGCTTTCTGTTGTTCTGAATAGCTTGTGGAGCATTGAGGTAAGTTCTTCCTGAAACATTTGGTGGAATTCAGCAGTGAAGCTGTCTGGTCCAGGACTTTTCTTTTTTGAGGGATTTAATTACTGATTCAATCTCTGTCCTAAATAATAATTTTGATTATATATTGTGTCATGATTAAATTTTAGTAGATTGTGTCCAGAAATCTATCATTTCTTCTAGTCTTTTTATTTTAATGGTATATAGTTGCTTGCAATAGTTCCTAATAATTGCATGTATGTCCTAGGTATCTATTGTTATATTTCTTTTTTTGTCTCTGATTCTACTGATATGTATCTTCTTTTTTTTTTAATTAGTTGGGCTAGTGGAGAATCTATTTTATTGATTTTTTTCAACAAACCAGCTCTTTGATACATTGATTATGTAATTTTGTCTTTATTTAATGTATATTCTCCCTTAATTTGATTATTTCTTTTTTTTTTCCGTGCTAATCTTGGGATTGCTTTTCTGTTGCTTTTTAAGCTCCTTCAAATGTGTAGTTAGCTCATTTACTTGATGCTTTATAAATTTCTTAACATAAGCATTGATTGAGATGCACTTTCCTCTCAACACTGACTTGATTATGTTCGATAAGTTCTGATATGTTGTATTGATACTTTCATTTGTTTCTAGCTAATTTTTTTTTAATTCCCCCTTTGATGTCTTCTCTAACCCATTGTTGTTTTACTCGCGTATTAATCAGTCTCCAGATCTTACCTGTCTTCTGGAGTATTTTGACCTATTGATCTCTGGTTTCACTTCATGATGGTCTGAGATCATGCATGGTATAAATTTGATTTTTAAAAAATTTCCTGAGAATTATTTTGTGTCCTATAATATGACCAGTCTTGGAGAAAGTTCCAGGTACTGCCAGAAAAAAGTGTTATTCTCTGTAAGATGAAAGGTTCTGTAACTGTCAGTTAAGAACACACCTGTTATCGAGATCCAAACATCCCAACAGCACACTTTCCAGAGGCTGAGCCTCTCCATTGGGTTGCAGTACGCCTCCATGAGCAATGGTCCTCTGTGCCTGTGTGGGTTCTGTATTGTGTTCCATTGATCTCTGTGTGTGTGTCTCACCAATGTCACAAGTCTTG